GAGATATTTGTAGCAGATAATTGTTTCAAATTTTCTTCAATCTCTGACTCTATATTTTCTAACTCTTCATGCTGTGCACATGACATTGAAACTCAACCATAAAAGATGTGTAAGTGGAGACTTGGGAAGCAATGCATTTTCTTGTGCTAATGACTCTTTGTTTTTTGAGCCAAATGGACAACTTGTGTAGACAAATTCCTTCATCACATAAATTCATCACATAAAGTATGCATTGAATTTGCCAATGATTGTACCTGAAAAAGGACCACAATGTTTAGCTTATGGCAAGTAAAAGGCCTCTGCAGAATGTTTAATATATATGTCTGTTAAAAATAGATGAGTCATGGTGATGAAGAAGACAAGTCACTCTAGTGGGGTAACATATCTTGCCCTCACTGTCTGGTATGTTGCTTGCCCTGAAAAGTTTCTATCATCTCAGCTGACACATCTGTCAAACAATTAAAGCTCAACAGCACTTTTTAAAAGATTGGAGCTAAACGGTGCAGTGTCCTGAAAATGGCTGTCCAGTTTGCATGAGCTAGCTTTGGGCTATACAAGTAAATTATCAGTACTGACCCTGTGTTAACTGCCTTTCATTTCACTCAATTCCTCTCTTTCAATATAACAGGACAAGGTGAAAGGTGGATAAACGAACCCATTTCATAGAATCATAGAATGTTTTAGGTTGGAAGGGACCATAGAGACCACCTAGTTCCAACGCACCTGCCATGAGCATGGGCACCCTCCACTAGACCAGGTTGCTCAAAGTCTCATCCAACCTGGCCTTGAACACTTCCAGGGAGGGGGCATCCACAGCTTCCATTTGCACTCTGCCATTCCTAACTATTCCTTTTTAATCAGCCAGGACTCCTCTAACTGCAGACTAAAGACCTCAGTCCAGAGGGCACAGTGCAGACAGGAGCACAAAGTCCCTGGCAACACCAGCCAGATTCATAAAGTTTTATTGCATCAAGAAAAAGTTGATAAATCACCTTTGCCTTTCTGATCTTGGCTTGCAAATACAAAACAGGCAGAGGAAGTTGGGGGAACTTTGTGTCAAAAGGATTTGTAGTTGGCCATAAAGTCCCCATATGGGTTATCCTTTCAAATTCAAATGCAGTCATCCACAAAGGAAGCCAGCTGCCATTTTGTTGTGTGGACTGCCCCGTGTAAAAATACATTTGCAGTCTGTTGTACATACGCAGTGTCATCAACCGCCATTCAAAGAAACCTCTCCGTGTCCACATTCTTTATCTACCATTCGCCAAGCCTTGGCTACTATCTGCATTATGTTTACAGATATATGTATTTTTTTCTAATAACACTGAGTAGAGGTACAAGTAAGGTGTTCTAGCACACAGCCTCTCACTTCATCCTCTATTCAGGTCTATGCCTCTGTAGCAGAGGTTAGACTGTGGATCTATTTAAAGACCTTTTCTTGACTCCAGCCTGTGTGTTAAGCAAAATACATGAATTATGCTAGTAAATTGTGGAAATGCAGGAACATGAGATGTGGCAGAGGCCTGTAAAGCTCACAGAACAGCCTGGGATGGCATCCTGCAATGGATGTGCCATTTCTCCCTACTCTTCTCATGAAGAGCAGGACTCATTCATCACGAAAACTTGCATGGTGTAATAAAGTGAAATAGTTAGCAGACCAGGGAGGATCAGCCCAATCTCTAGTATTTCCACGTAGGATATCAGGTTTTCATGGAGATCTCCTAGGATTCCACCTCGGTTCTTTGCCACTGTGGTACATGGAAGTGGATTGATGCAAATCTCTGGCTAACCAGCTTGGTGCTGGTAAGTCAAAGTGTCTGTGCACTGATACTGGTGATCTGTGATACTAGGGGAAGTTACTTATTAGTAGGACATTAGTATAAAAATATGTATGAAATAAATGGTGACTCTTAGAGAACAGGATTTCTAGATGTCATCATTGCTACTGATGGCAAGTATCTACTTACAGCCCATCTTCCAAAAAGAAGGCTTTTGGGATTAGTCGGAGCAGGTACTTCCCTATTACTCTTGCCTCTGCTACAACAACTAGCAATGCAGAAAGCATTGAATCAGGGGGTATACAGTTCTCATACTTGGGGAAGCTGGAACTTCCCCCCCATTTTCTCCCCTCCTGAAGACATTACTAACATGGGGCTCCAGGGAACCATGGCTCTGGAGTGCCCTGTCCCACTCACCTAGTTTTATTCTTCATGCTGGGCAACACAGATAATAGATTTATTTTTTCTGCAACTGGAGAATGATGATGTCGTGGGCATTTGGCAGACTGAAGGCAGGGGGAAGCTGCATCCCCCAGTGTTTGGATGCTAATTTTGCCAAGTGTCCTGGATTTGCCTGTACCCTTCTGTGAAGGCAGAGGCAGCTGTGAAGGCAGAGGCAGCTGCTTTGGTATGAGGTGGACCCAGAACTGTGATGGACTTCTTAAACTTTTGGACAACCAGAAAAAGCTGTGCAATTGATATGAGGCCTTGTTGAAGGGAAGCCCATGAAATCATGGATGCCACATGTGCTCCTTCCCATATCTCATGCTGTGATTTTAATGAGTAATCAATAGCCAAGGCCTATGCTGCTTTGTGGAAAGAGGAATACTGAGGAATATGTTGCACTAATAAGTTACAGGGTTCAAAAACATATGGTGTGCTTGTGTTTTTAAATTTCTGGGGTGATAGGACTGCAAATCCTATGGCATATTTTGTGCCCGATTAATTTTACGGACTTCATTGGGTAAGTGTTGATTTATTTGCTGCATAAAATATCAATTCAAATGTAACTCTCTGTGCTTGCTAGTTTGTGGACATAGGGTGCCATTTTATTGGCTTGTGCAGATAGCTCACTGATTTTTTTTATTCTTTAATAAAAACTTCCAGCACAGCTGTGGTTTTGCTCTTCCTTGTGAGCGTGTGTCAGCAGCAAGTGCTCTAGCACAGCAGCTCACAAACAACTGGAAAGAAAAGAGCCTGTGAAAGACAGTGTCAAATCTGCTAACCTAGAAGAAGGCAAGCTTGGTTTACCTTATAATAGGGACAGGCTCAAACTGCAGTCACAGTCACATACTGTGGTCCAGATAAAAATTGTTAATTTGTAGTAACTTAATTGCTCTAAATCGTGTTTTCATAGTCTTTGATGAAATGAAATTCATATCATTTGTCTTCTGTAACAAATAGATCAACGTTCTTCTGCTAAAGAAAACCCATTAAAAACAATAGAATGAGAGTGGGGGAACTGCTTGTCCACTGAAACGAAGCTAAATGTGAGAGGAAAGGATCCGGTGAGGAACAGATCAATGAAAAAGTGCTCTCTGTAGCAAAATACAACTTCAACACTCAAGTTAAAAATGTACCTGTTGAATAGATTTATTCTGGAGTTTGCATGGCATAAGGATGGTATGTATCTCACAAAGCCCTCTCTCATTTTGTTTAAATGCTAAGCTGCTGGTCCTCAGTGGGAAACCGCCAAGAGGGGTTGCAGCAGCTCTCCATTGGAGCCAACTGTGACAGGATTGGGACGATCCAGCACGAGTTCCTGCACGCCCTGGGATTCTGGCATGAACAGTCACGGTCTGACCGGGATGACTATGTGTCCATCATCTGGGACAGGATTCAGGCTGGTCAGTCAGTCCGCCACTTTTCCTTTCAGACTCTGATGTTCCACCACTAAACATGGTGGAACATCCCTTCTAGCCATCCTTTGGTGGCCACAGTATTCTGTCACCTAGACTTAGTTTTCAAAGCCAGTGTATCAATAATTTAAATATCAAGTGACATCTGTTTGGGGCAGAAAGTCTTGTTTGTTGTTGCTGTGGTTATTCCTTGTGCCATGGCAGTTCCCAGAGGCCTCACTAAAGATCTGAGTCCTGTTATGCTACCTGTTGTAGAGCAGAGCAACAGAAGATAATAATTTAGTTTCTTTAAATGAATACTCCTAAAACAATGTTACTCTGGAAACAAAACAAAGCAATTGAAAAAAAAAAATCCCACTCTGAAAAACGCAGTGCCACCAAAGCCAGCAGAAAATCTTCAGTGGAAACACTGGTCATCCCCTTTCTCCCTGGCTGCTACACCTGGTGTGGGCAGCAGAGCTGAGAGGGCAGAGAGTGCAAAGCGGGCGTGTAGAAAAGAGGGACCCTTTTCAGGGTCCACATTACGCGAGTGGTTACTTTGGCGATGCAGCTTGTGAATGTACGGGTTGGCATATTTGGCACAAGCCTGAGAGCCAGCACATGGTCTCTCACTCTTCAGCTTGTTGTTGTCCTCTGTGACTTTCAGGAAGTTCAAAACCAAAGTTATATATACAGACTTGATGCCTTCCTAACACAAGTATACACAGAAGACTGAAAAAATAGATAATTATTAAATCTAATGCATTCTTATTTAGTTGTGATCAATAGTCAGGTGCATATGCAAGTATATATTACAGAAAATGATTTAGACTGTTATTTGATTTCCGTTATATTTTGCTAACTGTTTAATGACAAGTTGTGTTATTGTTAGCCATTTGAAACTGCTGCAGGTTTTTTACACTGACTAGAGTATAGTTACTCTATTTTTACTAATTTAAAACATATAAAACTTTACCTTCCATTGTGTAGTTAGTAATGGATTTTTGCTCGTGCTCCAGCAAATGTCTGTAAAGTTAAATTCTGGAAGCTTATCTGATGACAGCTCTAACTTGTTTATTGTGAGTTAAAATAACCAGCAATTAAACATCAGAGAATACAGATTAGAAACAAGGAGGCATTACAGTTGCAAATTGCATTAATTTCAGTACTGAAACAGTATCTCCCCTTTTGGGTATCATAAACCTGTCGAAGTTTACAGGTAGTTTGGCTGGTAGCAAAAAGGTTTTTTTCATTCAGCAGAAGTCATCATGTTAAGTTCCAGTGGCTGAAAGAGGAAAGTAAATAACCCTAGATTAGAAATAACAGTTTTAGAAAGTACAAGTAAATGACTACAAAAAAAATATACTTGGGGATCTGATGGATTCTCTGTACTTTAAGTCTGTACATCAAAACTTGGTCTTTTTGGGCAACAATCAATCTTTCCTTTTATTTTTCCCGTTTAGGTAAAGATCATAATTTCAACAAATATGATGATAGAACATCAGACTCCCTGAATGTTCCCTATGACTATACTTCTGTGATGCACTACAGCCAAAATGCATTCAGGAACGGGACTGAACCCACCATCGTCACTAACATACCAGACTTCATGGATGTCATAGGGCAGCGAATGGATTTCAGTGATTATGATCTCCAGAAACTGAACCGGCTGTACAATTGCTGTAAGTTTCTACATTTCTTTTAACTTTTTTGCTTTGGTATTTGAAAGAAATGAGGGTGATACATACATGTTGGACTCATCCAGGCACAAGTGAAAGAGATGCTAACACATTTGGAAAACTGAATTGTGTTAAAAACACCAGAAGTAATGGTACAGCTAGAAATAACATAGCCCTCCTGCAGAAACACTGCTGGCTAGTAGAGTTTTCTGTGCAATTTTATCTGACCTTTAGTTACAAAACAGCTTTACTCAGCAGCTGATTTTTCCTCATCCCTTGGGTGGCTGTTTAAAATGTGTGCTTCTACACAAAGTTTTTTGGTTTTTCCCCCATTATTCCACATGTCTGTTGCTCAGACATTCTACAGAAATTAGTATCTTTGCTGTGGCTATTGGACTTACCCGACTCTCATGCAATCTGTGAAGCAGAGTGTGTGTTTGTGCAAATAGGGTACAGATGCTGTGATGGAGAAAAGATGTCTCTTCCAAAAGTTGTCAGAAGAGTTAACTTGCTCATGTGGGATTTATTTTAGAAAGTTGAGTGAAAATAAGAGATAGAGAAATACAGATAATTCTTTTACCAGACTAGAATATAATTCTGTAATTGTGACTGCATTAAATGTGCCCTGGCACTCAGATGAAAATTTTTACTTGAGTGCCTCAGTATCCCAAGTAGTGAGTACTGGTTTCCAAATATATTTTAAGCCTCATTCTACAGATACCTTAAATAATAATCAGATTGTGTTTTATTTAAAAAGTGCATTTTTTTGAGCATATGATTCTGATGAAAATATTTCTGTTCACGTGGGTCTAAACTGAGCACACAGTTATTCGCAGCCTTAGCTTTAGTACTGAAATTAACGCATTTTGCAACTGTAATGCCTCCTTGTTTCTGTATTCTCTGATGGTTAATTGCTGGTCATTTTAACTCACAATAAACAAGTTAGAGTTGTCATCAGACAACACCATCTGCCTTCATGGCCCCTGTGCCAGGGAGGACAGGCAGTTCACAGGGCCCAGCTCTCATCCACCCAGCTCTAGACTGATCCTTTCAGGTTAGAGGAAAGACTGAGAACGCCAAACATGGTTTGGGGGGCAGATATCCTCCCAGAGGAATCAAAAGGTTACTTCTGTTGCTGAACATCATTTAAGGAAAAGTTTCAGCAGAGTTTCTGCTAAAGGCCTATGTGGTGAGGAAATTGCATTAAAAAGTGGGAAAATTGCTCTTAAATTGAAAAACAAACAAAAAACCCCAATCCCCAGCATAAGAAATCCTGACTGATTCTGAATCCTGACAGAAAAGTGCTGTTCTGATCTCTTCTTCAGGACTGTCTGCTTTCCTCTTCTAGCTTATGACTTAACAGAACAGACCATGATGTTTCCCTCAGCCACTGGAAGTTAGGACTCAGCTCTCACCCTCCATGTATTTTCTTCCAAGTCCAGCCTTTCACTACATACCAAGAAAGTATCTGACTTTTGGTGCAGATAGAATTCAAAACCTGCCTCAAGCAGTGTCCCCTTCCCCTGTTTACTTAATTAATCTAAGAAATACTTTGTAAGCTACTGGGTCTTGCTTTTCTCTCTTCCTGTTGTTCGGATCACCACTCCATGCCAGCTGGCACTTTCTAATTAAAATAGTTAGGCTACTGCTTTCCTGTTGATTTCATATTTTGTTTTGTATTTTGATTTCAAAGAGTTCTTTCATCTAATTCTTCATTTTTGCTTACCTTCTTGCTGACAAGCTAGCTGTTTTGGTTTTCTTTAATCCGTTCTCCAGCAGTCAATATAATATTTACTGTGAAAATGTTTTTGTGGTTTCACAACTTCATACCAATACTGTATTTTAAAAGGCATCAGTCATATAACACTTCTGATAGCCTTGCAACCTCTAAAGGATTGTCATCTTTCTATGAGGACAGTACAAAACATCTCAGCAGTACAACTGATTTGGCAGCAGTTCATACTTAAGTGCTTCCCAGAGCTACAGCCTAAGTGAAGCATTTGGCTAGCCATTGAAGTTGATTTTTCTGATACTCAAGGTCCTTTTTGTCAAGCAATGAAACCTTTAAACCTGCCACAATATCTTATACATAGTTTGAAAATCAATAGTAATGAAGCATTTTATCAACCTGGTTGTTTTGAAATCATGGTCGGTGTTACACAGAGCTCAGACATGGTACAATGAGAAACAAATCTAAGATTAGGGACAAACTTGGACTGTGTCTTCTCTCACCCATCCAGGTTTACTTTAGACAGAGAAAGCATTTCATACAGTGTTTTCCTTCTCCTATTCAACTGCATAGTCTTCCTTCACTTAATTTTTCACTTGTTATATATATGCAAGACATCTTAAACATTTGTATGAGATGAGATATCCACTGGTCCCAAATGTACCTTTGACAAATGTTTTTTTCAGAATGAGCATTTTGAAAATCAAGGTTTTCTTATTGCAGTGAAATAACTTCTCTACTATATTTCAAAATAAGCACTCAGGCTGCTTCATTAAAGACCCTGTATAAAAATCTGTGGTCATGTGTGGACTGGCCCAAAGAAAGCAGAGGAATGAATGGAAAATCTCAGGACCTTTTGACTGTGTGAGGTTGATGGGTTGGGGCTGGTAGAATTGTTCCTTTTATAAATGCAAGATGTGATATGGTAATTAGCTGGCACCCTCCTGTGCTTGCTAAGTACCCAGAGTGGTCCTCATGACATCTTATTAATGTCAGTGTTAATCACCAAATGCTTTGAGTTCCTGAACATTATACCTATGAATGTTGATATTTTAAGCCTCTAATTATTTGGTGTTTGCAGTTAGTCTTTCTCTGCTCTTTGCTTTGGACCTTCAGAGTTAAAATGTATGTTGTGTAATAGAGATTCACAACTTTTTTTTTTTTTTTTAATGTTACAGCCTCCTCCCTAAGTTTCATGGACACATGCAGTTTTGAACTTGAAAATATATGTGGCATGATTCAAAGTTCAGATGATAACAGTGACTGGCAGCGTTTGTCTCAGGTTCCTGCTGGGCCAAATGCCGATCACACTAATATGGGAGAATGCGAAGGTATGAGAAAAGATTGTTCTTATCTCTCTGGGAAGTGTTTTCTGCAGAGGCATGTGAGTTGAGTTCTGTCTTGGCCTTGTTCTCTGTTTATTTGTTGACAAATTACAGTTCATTTTTAACTAAGCAACATAAATCTACATACTTAGGGACATCATATGATACATTTGATTTTCTGTTTATTTGAGAAGATTGAATGTCCTTATCTCTTCTGATCTGTTTTATAGTCTTAGTGTCACATCGAGAACTATATAGAATGTTCTAATCTATGGTACAGACACACAAGAAAGACTGCTGCTTTTCTAAATGATTGCTTAATAAGTCTTTGGAAAGGATTGGGATTTAGACATCAGGTATATTACCAGGGCTCAGGTGAACAATTAATTGAGAATATAGCCAGTTGTTTCTGAACCTATCAGAGGAAACTTTGAGTCCAGGAGCTTAAACCAGTCCTCCAGAGAGAGAGTTAACTGTGAATTACTGGCACTGGGTAAAGAGTAAAAGCTCATGCTTTTGAGTACAAATTGATAGAGACAGACAAATGAGGAAAAAAGTTGCAAGGACAGTAGTTCTGCTGCTGGAGAATGTGAACAGGTAGCAGTCTTCAGTTTGAGGATTTGTACAGGATCTACCTTACCCTGACTTAACTGTGTCTTTTACCGGTATTGCAATACAGTGTTAAGAATAACAAGTATGCCAGGAAAACATTGTTTTCTCTCTCCTCTACCATCATTTTCTCATTGACTTTTGACAGATTCTGGCTACTTCATGCATTTCAACAGCAGCACTGGAGCAGAGGGGAGCACAGCTATCCTGGAGAGTCGAATTCTGTATCCCAAAAGGGGCTTTCAGTGCTTACAATTCTATTTCTATAACAGCGGTCACGAAAGTGACCGGCTGTATGTCTGGGTCAGGGAGTATACTTCAGCCCATCCGAATGGTACTTTGAGACTCATTGAAGAGATAAAAGGTATGGAATAAGACTGCATTTTGGTTTAATCTGTACTCAATATCCTTTTCAAAGTACTGGGGCAAAATATTGTAGCAAAGTGACTCATCTCCTAGGATTATTCTTTGGCTTCTTCTCTAACTATGTAATTGATTCTCTGCTGCTGAAATTATACTTGATGGATCCTCATAACCCATTTTAATATAATAGAATAGAATATATATATTATAATATAATCAAGTACCACAAATTACAAACCTTTGTGTTATCAAGATAGTTTTCTCACCAAAATAGCTAAAATTCCATGAGCAGTCATTTTAACTGTTCTAGAATTTCTGGTATCAATAGCAACAGATGAAGTTGGTCATTGGAGTAAATTACAATGAATAAGAAAGTAATAATAAAAAAATTGAAAATGTAAGTGTCCTGGAATACCTAACACATCAATTTTAAAAAGATAAATAAAATTTAACTTACTTTTTGAACAATTACTTAAGTTTGAAATGACTTAACTGAAATATATGGGCAGCAGATCATGACTTGAGTTGTAGATTGAAGAAATTTTTCTGTCCTACAGGAAAAGCAGCTGAGGTCAGCTGATTAAGAAGAGCTCTTTAAACTAGAAGTACCGACGTTACCTTATGAATAAATTACTTTCTCAAATATTTTACTATTACTTGGTCTCCATTACAGCTACAACTAGTTCAATCTTCTGCTTGTATAAGAGTGTCTGAGCAAGTTCTTTTACTAAATAGATATCAAGTTCGCTCTTCTGCCTCTTCTTGTCCCTTTAGGCTCAGCTGCCAATGATGCCTATTTTTCTTTTCTTTTTTTCCCCACTCTTTTCTTCACCTTGATGCCTCCATCATCCCTGTGTGCTGTTAGGAATCCTTAATGTAAGTTTCAGGACTGCTAAGGCGGTTGTAGATTTCAGATTAGTCTGAGCCCTCCAAACTCTTTCGAACCCTACTTTGAAGCCAAGATTAATTTCTCTACACTTCAGCCTTCTTCACAAATGCTGTTTCATGTATATTATGTCCCATCTCCCATTCTTGCTTTCTCAAGTCCATAATTTCCTTTTAAGTCTCTGATTCATATGTGTGTCCAAATGGGCCACCTACTTTGACAATCTCTGTTTAAACTTTCAGGAACAGTTTGAGATAATTTTTTCCTCCAAGCTCTTTCACCTCTCTCATGTGAGAAGTTACCCTCACCAATGGAGTCAACAAACCAGAAGAAACAGTGACACTGCAACTCTTTTCAGCCATGATCTGATATCCCTGCTCATGAGTTTGTACTGATCTACCATGTTTGAGAGGCTGAGGGACAAGCCCTGAACTCTTTCTGCTGGCCTGTGGCAGATGTGGCCGTCTTCAGCTGGGAGCAGGGGAGGCTGCAGGGATGGGACATTTTACAGCACAGTAGCTGATCTGCTCATTGAACATGAGTCAGAAACCCCAGTCTTGCATATAATCTGTGCTGTTCAAAAAAACTAGTTTATACAGAAAGCAATTTAATGGAAAACAGCGGGATGCTTTTGTTCTTGTTTCTGAGTTTATTTTTTTTTTCTTCCTAATTATAATGGTAACGAAAACCACAAGAAATTAAGACTCATATCTGACATCTGCTGTGTTGGGTTTAGAATTGTTAGGAAAGTAAAGCATGAGTTCTGTACCTGGGATTGGCATGGCTTATCCCATTAATGCAGCTGAAAGTCTGGTCTTTCATGCAGGTGAACATAAACCAGACAGCACAAGAATCTGTTTTGCTATAGATGCTGTTTAACAAAGGATGTCCTACTTTCACCTGCCTTACAAGGCCCCTGTGCAGAGGTCTTCACTTTTGCACACACTGCTCTGGGAGACAAGTAGGATTTGTTAGTGCAGGCACTTTTGCATGCAGCATCAGACTTGCAGTGAGGTTTTATCACATGAAGTGGGTTTTGCAAATGACTGGCTTTAATTTGAACTTAGTACCATTAATCATTTGATGGGCGAATAATGCTTCTGGATAGGCAAACATCTGACAAGCCATTTAAATATACAAAAACAATTGAATGAACAAATCTTGTAGTTCTAGGCTCCCAGAATCCTCTGTAACATTTTTTTTGAGGCATGTTGTTATTCAGTTATTTGAATATACTTTGCTCTGATTTTTTTTATTTTTGATAATACAGGTGACAGCCATCTTTGTACATTTAATGATCATAACATTTATACTAATTTAATGCAATATTCTTTAAAAGGATAAAAGAAAAAATAGTCCTAAAACCCATTAACACTGTTTTCACTCAAGTTAGAGAGCTGCTATGCATATTAAATCTATTGAAAAAACTGAATTGAGAAAATATGATCTTGCACTGAAAATCTACAGGATAAGTGCCAGTGGAACTGAGAAATTCTTACATAGCATTGATATAGAGTCTGTAGACCTGTGCAGTGTTGGACTGTACTGCTTACTCAGAAATTTCTACCCTTGTTTTTCAGGTTCACCTGCGACTTACTGGCAGCTCCATCATGTTTCTTTGAATGTCACAAGTAAATTCCGGGTTGTGTTTCAAGGCATGAGAGGAAGTGGCTTATCAAATGGAGGCCTCTCTATTGACGACATCAATTTGTCAGAAACTCAGTGTCCCCATCACATCTGGCATATCAGAAATTTCACGCATCTCCTCAACACAAGCCCAGCAGGGACAGCAGGGAGAATATACAGTCCACCTTTTTACTCTAGTAAAGGATATGCTTTTCAGGTCAGCTTGTATGTAAATGGTACCACTGACAACCCATTTAATTTAGCAATGTACTTGCACTTGATTTCTGGAGCAAATGATGATCAGTTGCAATGGCCCTGTGCATGGCAACAAGGTACCATGATTCTGCTTGACCAGCATCCTGATATTCGTCAGCGAATGTCAAACCAAAGAAGTATAACAACTGATCCCCTGAAATTATCAGGTTAGTTAAAATCAGATGTGCTGTCCAGTACATTTAAAACACAGCCAAAAGACAAAGAGTCAATTTCTTTCTTTGTGTAAATTAATGCAGTTTTTTTTCAACTTCTGGAATGTTTAATTTGGTCACAGCAACAATATAAATGATCCATGGACAAGAAAAAAAATGAACATGCAAGTAGGTTAAGATGAGACCCTGGATTTCAAAGTTGATTTGCATAAGAAACAAGTGGATGATCCACTCCTAAAATTTCCCTCATATGCTCTGTGAAGATGCATTTATACTTGCTTTAATGAGAATTGAAGTTTTCCAGAAGGCTTGAAAAGAAAAATACTGAATTAACAATATACATGGTTCATACCAGATAAAAGTGCAGCTATTAAGCAAATCCCCACCCTCCTTGTAAAAGGTACAGTGGTGTCAGCACAAATCTCCAGATGGACAAAGTACTGATCCATATTATATTATCTGTATTCGTTCAAGGTGTGAGAAGATAAGGAGCAATTGTCTACAATAACTTGGAAAGGAGGCAGTTGAGGTAAAGATGTAACTGAGAAATCGTAGGCATCTCTATAAAGAGAGGTTAAAGAAAACCACATATTCATCATTGGATAAAGATAGGATTTAACCCAAAATTACTTGTAAGGATTTTGCCAAAAGAAAACACCTCCACTACTGAATTAGTTTCCTGAGCTTTCAGACTGTAACATAGTGAAGGAAGGAAGGCCCAAAAATGTCTGATTCACAGTATTATTTTTTTAAAAATTATGATTTACATTCATTTTTCTATGACACTGTCTCTATGTGAAAACAAAGCGGTTAATCTAGAAAGACTAAATGTCCTCCCTGTAAATGAAGGGTGCACCACACCAGGTCCTCCATAGATGGTTTACATTTTCCTTGTGCTCTCTGCTGTTATGGCCACAGTGCTTAGTCCTTCTCCTTCCCTAACCACGTTGACACATCGTCTGTTTGCACTCTGCTCCTTCTCCCTTGCTTATTCATATATTGCTGATAGCCCCAGATTCCTGAGAAAAGCCTTGTAACTCCTACCCTTTCTCTAACAGCAGAGATGTTGGAGCAGGCATTTTCTACTCCCTCTGTCAGATAATTTCATAGACAATCAGGCTCAGCTTTGAGATTGAGAACAGGGTTTGATGGAGGGGAGATCAGTGGCCTTTGACCATTCAGGTTGTTTAAGTACCCTTTGCCCTACAACCAGATCAAGAGATTCACTTTTTTGAGAAGCACTGAATTAATTCATTTTACAGATGATTCATGTACTACTCATCTTCTTGCCCACTACACTTTAAAAGAATTAAAAAGAAAATACAACAGGTTTTCAACTAGCTCTCCAATAACCTTATCTCCAGCAGATTCTTTTCTCAATACCTCAGACTAAACCAAGCTGTTGAAGACCTCCATTGTCTTGTGCATCTCATCAGTGTGGAATCTCAGGCAAAAAGTCTGAAAATATTGTAGGCAGGTTCAGCATTGCTCCTACTCCTTGAGTTTCAGGTAATTTATTGTCTTCTCCAGATTCATGATAGCCATGAGCAGAAGCAGAAGCAGACAAAATAGGATGCAGTCTGTCTTTGTTCTTGAGAGAGGCCTCAGTACTCCTTTGTAGCAGAGATTATCTGAGAAGGAAGGGACCCTGTTGAGAAAGAAATCCAGAGTGTTCCCACACTGACATTCAGTTAATTTTTTTTTTTTTTTCAGATTCCTCATCAACTTATTTTTGGGATAGGCCAGATAAAGTGGGATCTGTAGCATCTTTTCCCAATGGAACTACCTTCATGAGAGGTCCAGGAAGTGGAACGAGTGCATTTTTAACTCATCAGAGACTTAGAAGCCGCAATTTTATTAAAGATGACAGTGTTTATGTTCTTTTAACAATGGAAGGTATGTAAACATAGTTAATATTCTTTACGATACAGTAAATATGAAGTATCACATGCTTACCAAGTAAATAATGCTGTAGATATAGATACACATGATGTTCTTTGCACATGAGCAGTTTTGGAAGTATGTATGTATCTAAAATCAAATCATATGTTTGAATAAATTTGTGGATAGGTGCATGCACTTTATAATTCCTTTATCTCATGTGAAGGTGTGTAAAATGATGCTAATCCTGTGCAAATTATTTTGAATAGACTACTTTGAATAAAATTATCTGTTTCTGAAAAAAATCTAGAGGACATTTCCAAAATATATCATGCTCCTGGAAGGTAAACAACCTATTTATCCATTATACCTGTGGACAGGCTCTTTGCTCTTTACTATAAGAACTTATCATTAGAATAAGAGGAAAAATAACTTGAAGACCTTATTTCTTGCGTTTTTATCATGCAGATATATCATATCTACTATCAACTCAGCCAAGTGTTTCACCCACCTTTGTTATGAATACACCCAGTGCCAACACCATCAAACCTACCAATAACGTCGCTGCTACCACCAAGCCTATTGCCACCACCAAGCCTACCACTAGGACTACCACCACCACAACAGCCATCACAACAGCCTCTGTCACGCTGACCAAAGAACCAGAGACAGAAGTTCCAGATTCCTGTCCAGACAACCCTTGTGAAAATGATGGTGTCTGCGTTATTGTAAATAGAGCACCGGTGTGCAGGTAACTGCCTTTATTCAATCTGAAATGCACTTTTAGGATGAGTAATGAAAGTTTCTAGTAGAATAGATCTTTGTTCCTTGTGAAAGGAAAAACAGACTGTAGCTGATTAAGGCAAATATTTCCAACTGCTACTGCGAGACTGAACTTATGACCAGTTTGGGCAACAAAGTTCCTAAGCTCAGCATTTGACCATTTTGAAGTACCCTGCTTGACTTCCCTGTGAATTATATTTTAACTGTGTTTATTGTTTCTGGTAATGTATTAGTCCAATGTTATAAAATGGAGTGTGCATCTCCTTAGAAGTCCCTATAGAAAAATTTAGAAGACTTAAATATAAATGCAGTTGAAACAAAAGAGCATTTATATCAGTAGAAAAGATGTTCAATACTTCTCAGGCAGGAAGCAGCACAGACATTATTTTAGAGTTTGATTCAGAAATATTTTGTATTGCAAATTATGACCATGAATTACCAAAGTGCAGTTGCTTGCCTTTGAAAGCAGCAGTGAAGGCTGAGGACTAAAAAGATTGTTTGCCCTGCAAGAGAATTAGTATCAGGTTTCATTTAGTTCTCTGTGGATACATTTATGTAACCCACCTGGCTGATTAGCACTGTTCCAGTTTTCAAACAAACTCTAAGGCTGAAGGTAGTAACCTTATGTGCTGCTGTGCCAGGGCAGGTAGATTGTGGGGGAGTGCTGTGAGGCAAATGTCTAAGGGCCAAGAGCAACAAGAGTCAGGGTGACTCATTAAGTGTTATATCTCCCCATTTAGAAACCTTTTTAAAAAACAATTCTTGTGCAACCCATCAGAAGCAGGTCACAAATATGAGTAAATGACAAGAAGCTGTTCCAAGAAGACAAAAAAAAAAAGTTATGCTGAATGTTTTGCCTGATTTCGAAATTACTGAAAGAGAACATTTATTTTCTGGTATCTCTGGACTATTTGAAGCTCTGGTGCCTATGTGACCTACTTTCCATCCTAGAGACATGTGTGACCAGCAGTCAGTTGTCACTCTGATTTTGTATTGGGAAACAAGGGGGAATGTGATACAGAAGCCAGTTCTCATGAAGTCCCCCAACAGTCAGCATCTTTGCAGGGCACTGCAAATGGACTCATTTTCAGAGTTGAGGGTAGTTCTGAATAAATGGTTTATACAGGAACTAGAAAAACAGTACCTAAGGAGCAACCACGGTTAGAAAGATAGGGGCAGATGAGCACTCAGCAGTACTGTACATACTTTTTTTTTTTTTTTAAATTAGACCATTGGGACCCTCGTATGCTCACTATAGCAAGTTTTGGAGCTGATTATGGTGCTGGATAAGGTGAAGGAATCAAGGCCTGGAGACTGTTTTTAGTCCTAAAACCAGATGACTGCTAGGATGTTAATTTCTTATCTTCTTCTTGGGAGAGGGCAGAGGCTGCTTGTACAAGTTCTTTAAATTTGAAAATAAGCCCCTTCTGACAATGAGAAGGTCTAATCAGAATGT